CTGACTTCTGTGAGCCATTCTAGAAAATTATCAAACCTCAAGAGGGGATTGTAAGAACCCTCAATTTATAGCCACTTAGAAGTTACAGGTCACAACCTGGGACTTGCAACTGGCAACTCAAGTGGGAGACAGTCTTTGGGAACTTAGCCCTTAACCTGTGGCAACCTATGCTAACTCCAGGTAGTTCGCGTCAGGATTGTGTTAAATTGGCCAGACATAGTGGCTCAACCTGTAATCCCACCACTTCCGAAGGCCAAGGAAGGAGAATCATTTCAGTTTAGGAGTTCAAGACCAGCAAATCCCAGCTACTTAGGAGGCTGAGGTTTAAGGGATTGCTTGTGCCTGGGAGATGGAGGCTGTAGTGAGCTATGATTGTGCCACTGCACTCCAGCCTGGGCAACACAGCAAGACCCTGTCTCAATAAAAAATATTTTAAAATTAAAATTTTAAAAAGAATTGAGTTAAGTTGTAGGACATCCAGTTGGTATCCAGAGAATTGGAGAATTGCTCGGTGTAGAAAATTCATCTATTTGGTGTCAGAAGTGTGTACAGAAAACAGTTTTTCCTATTTTTAATGCCCATGTTTATATGATATCCATATAATTCTCACACAATTGTTTATATATCTGATTCTCTTACTAGACTGTAATTTTATTCATAGTCACCTCCTTGATTCCTTGCTTAGTACCTGGCAAACATTAAGTGCTCTATAAATATTTGCTGTATGACTAAATAAATAAGTACCTCATGTAGCCACAGATAAGAAATGAGGAACTAAAAGAACACACAGTTTTTTAAGAAATAGTTCGTGAACATATATAAATGTATACCTGCTCTGGAATGAACACTGTATTATCTCTACAGAAGAAAATTAAAGAATTAGACAAGATGATCTGTGACCTTATTGCTGAGATAAAATATACATAACACAAACTTAATAGTAACACAAAGCAAAACTTTAACAGCTGGAAGAAAATGTCTGCAACAAACTGCATAATCGATGAAAAGAGGCTGAATAAAGCAAAACCAAGGATGGCAGGACTGAGAGGTTCTTAAAATCATACATAGAATTCGAAAAATCAGTTGAAGAGGGAAGGCAAGTAGGTTAGTTGTCAATAAATACTAGCTATACATTTCATACACACAAGTAGATTTATAGCAACTCATACAAAAAGGAAGGATTTTCTTTAGTCAAGGCTACAAGTAATTTTTTTTTTTTTTTTTTTTGAGACAGAGTCTTGCTCTGTTGCCAGGCACCAGGCTGGAGTGCAGTGGTGCAATCTTGGCTCACTGCAATCTCCGCCTCCTGGGTTCAAGCAATTCTCCTGCCTCAGCCTCCAGAGTAGCTGGGACTACAGCTGCACGCCACCACACCCAGCTAATTTTTGTATTTTTTAGTAGAGATGGGGTTTCACATGTTGGCCAGGATGGTCTTGATCTCTTGACCTCATGATCTGCCCGCCTCGGCCTCCCAAAGTGGCAAGTAATTTTTTTTAAAGGGAAATACAACTAGCTAAAGACATAAAAAACATTTCCTATTAATGTCAGGGGGAGACACACATTCATTCATACTACAAATATGTATTGAGTAACTACTATGTGCCAGGCATTGTTCTAAGCACTAGAAAACAAAAGAGAGAAAAATCTCTGCAGGGAAAGAAAGAAAATAAAATAAATAAGTTACATAGCATACTTGAAAGTGAGAGGTGCTATGCAGAAAAGTGAAGAAAGAAAGAGGATAGGGAATGCAATGGCAGGAGCTGGGATGGACATTTAGAAAAGGTAGTCCAGGAAAGCCTCAGTGGGGTAGCATTTGAGCTTTTTTTTTTTTTTTTTGAAATTTTGACCCTAAAAAATTAATGTTTTTTAAACTTGTAAGTTCAGGGGTACATGGCATTTGAGCTTAAGACCTGACAGAAAGAGTCTCTAAGGGAAGGGCATTGCCGGCAGTGGGAATAAATGCAAAGACCATGAAGTAATAGCAGGCTTAGTGTGTTTGAGGAAGAGCACACCACACAGGCCAGTGCGGCAGGCTAACAATAACATTTTTGGCCCAAGAGACAGCCCAATACTTAAAAAAACACAATATCCAATGTTAGGAAACCTGAGAAAATGGATACTCCTCTCTACTGCTGGTGGGAATGTAAACTGATACAGTCTTTTTGGAAGGCAATTTGGCAAAATCTATCACAATTTCAGACACTCAACCTCTAGTTCTAGTCTAGATTCTACCATACATATACAGGCACACAGATATATGAAAATACATTTAATGCACACATTATCAGTAAGTAACTGGAAATACCCTGCCTATCAACAGATGGTTAAATAAATTATGGCAGCAGTTGTGTAAGTATGCACTGGGGTTTTAAGCAGTCCAAGAAAATCTCGGGATCCTAAAAGTCTTTCAAAGGGTCAGCAAAGTCCTCCCTTTTCCAACTACATACCTATGTGAATCTAAATTTTCTTCATTTATTTCAACCCAAATATACCACAACAGATTACATGAAGAAACAGATCTGAAATTCCTGCCAGATTCTATTAAGTCAGACATCAAAGATTTTTACAAAACTATTGATCTGACCCAAAGAAGCAACAGGTCTCAAGTATCCCCATATGTTTTAGAAGCCTGAAGTCAGTGAGATAAAACCCAACATCAAGAATTTGAAGGAAAGCAACTTGTGAGGAAGGAATGTAAAGAAAACACTGGGTAGTTTGGCTAGAGCACAGTAATAATTAATTTGGTTTGCTGGTTTTCAAAAATTTGTATTGCAATAAAAGGAAATTTCAATGTGCTATTTCAATTTTTAGTCGTAAATAAATGTGTATATAGAGAAACACTAAAACAGAGTTCCCCCTCAAAATAAAAGATTTTTACAAAACTATAAAGTAGTACCATTCTTCTCTATCTCACTAAATTTTTGGAGGTTTGGGAGATATAATTATTCTTCATTAACATGTAAAGTAATGATTTATGGTTTATTATTTTTAATTAAATTAATTTAAAAATTTTTTATTTTACCTTTAAATTTTTAATTTCTCACATAATAAATATCAGTATATATAAACTACAAAAATCAAAAATTATTTGGGATCCTTGGTAACTTCTAAGAGTACAAATGGATTCCCAAGACCTAAAGTTTGAGAATTGCTAAATTATGGTACATTTCTACTACAAAAAAACTATGTAGTATTAAAAGAGAATAATGTATTCATATATTTTAAAGAAAACACAATTTGTATATAATTCTTTCATGTAAAACTAAAATTTTTAAACAAAATACATATAAACACAAAGACACAACACAAATGTTGGTATAGACGTTTATATTCCATATGAAATGTTCTTCCTGTATCTTACCTAAATAATTTCTAATCTTCTTTCAGATCTTAACACAATCACCTCTTTCTCAGAGAAACCTTGCCTTATTTCCCTAACTAGGTCAAGTGAACCTATTATATGGCCTCATGATATTATGTACCTTTCTTTCATGGCACCTAACGTTGTTACAGTTTTGCATTTATTTGTATAATCATTTTGATTAGTATATGTCACCTATATTAGCTTATAAATTTCATGACAGTAGGGGGTTCATTATATTATTCTCTCAAATTTCCTGTATGCTTGAAAATCTTCATAACGAAACATTTTGTTAAAAAAAAAGAGAGATTATTCAACTTATAACTCCTTTCAATTCTCAACCAACTTTTAGACTTCACCCCTACCCCTGCTAAATCTGCTTTCCAAGATTACAACTGACTGACAACTGCCAAATTCAGCTTTCTGCATCTCCCAGGCTCTTAGCAGCATGTGATACCACTGCCCAAGACCCACCTGAAACTCTTTTTAACTTCACTTCAAAAAGCTACTTTCTTTCAGTTCTGCCCAAGCCCGTTTGCTACGGATTTCTTTCCCCGAGGTCACCTACTGCTCATACTGGTGTCCCTCCTCTACTTCTCCTCCTTGGATAATCTCATCTACTCCACTAACATTATCTGTCCATCAGAAGACTATCTACCTACCTATAATGTTAATTCTCAATATCTAGTCAGTGCCACAAACTTCCTAAACTAAAAATAAACATCATAAAACTATCTATCCATCTGTCTGCTTCCTCAGATGACAGCACCACCATTCAGTCCCTCAAAATAGAAATGTTGGAATTATCCTTAACTTCCCTCTTTTCTTCCTCATGTACTAGTTATTAAATCCCACAAAATCTGTATCAGAGATACCCTAAGTTTGCCCATCCTTTCTATAACCATAGTGTAAGTTCAGACTCTCATTTATTACCTGAAATACCTCAATAGTCTTCTAATGCCTTCTCTGCCAATAGTTTATCCTCACTCCCTTCAAGGGTCTATACACCATACAACCCTCAAAGTCCTATCCGAAGCTGATTATATTACCCTCCACCTAAAATCTAGGGATGCCTCATTGTACCCAGCAGCACCTATACCTCTAGCCACATATTTAGCCTCATGTACATTCCCCACATACACAAGATATAATGAACTTTTCACTTTTTCATGAACATGTCATGCCATTTCATAACTGTGCCTTTAAACATGCTATTCCCTTTGCCTTGCAGGGAACATACTTTCTCATATTTTCCACATGGCAAACTGATGTCGAAGTTCAATTTTCAGCTTCTTTGGTAGGTACTTCCCTTATAACTCAGTCACTCAACAAAAAAATGTGTCGAGTATCTACCAGTAAGACATGAACCTTCACCTCAAGGAATTTCTACTCTAACTTATATTATGTTAGGACTCACTCAAACTATTATTATTATGTTCATATTACACCATAGTCATCCTTCGACTTATCTCTCCTCCCAGCTGGATCATGAGATCTTTGAAGGCATGGCTCCTATCTTATTACTCTTTACACATCTTGAAAAACAAACCATTTTTTTCTAGCTTATGAAGAGAGCTGAAGAACAATGAGAATTTAAATGTTTAGCATTAGTACCCAAAACAAATATGTATTCACTTACCTCATAGGTCCATAGTTCAATATTATAAATGCCAATACTATCATCACACAGACAGCTCTTCGCTTTGGACTAGGGACTTTAAGCCTCTGGTTCTAAAGGAAATGACCACATTAAATACAATTAAACTACACATCAATTTCAGAAAAAACAACACCTAAAATTAGAATATCCCTCCTTACCAATTATGTAAATACATTGCTTGTCTTATTAAAAAAAAAAAAAATCAAAGGTGAGGAAATAATACTTTTCAAAAGACTAGAGCAGAGACTTCCAAGTTCACTTTTCTAGCACAGAGAGAAAAGGAGAGAACCAGCAGAGAAAAAACAGAGCAGCCGCTCCACTGCAGTTTCCTCTTCACCCAAGAGGAAAGAATTCAATATTTTTATATTTTTATGGATCCCCAAAGAATTTTGAGACATTTCTACAGTTCGCCTCCCTAACTTTTAAATCATTGTTTTCAGTAACATATAGGAGGATTCCTATGTACTCAGGGGCAAGATAAAAAGAATAGTGTAAGAAGCCCCACTCGGTAGATAGGTATATGGTTCAGCACTGCAGTGAGAAATTCTGCAAGTAGCAAATTTCCCAAATAGAACTAAGGAGATTAACCCTCTTGGAGCCAGCATAGTAACAGAATGCAAAAATCACATTAGTAGTCAGGTGGACTGAGAAAAAATAAAAACATACTTTTATTTTATATTGTTTTTTAAAAGGGAAAATATAGCAGGGCTATTAAGCCTCAGTGTGATTCATTTAGTCAGAAAAGAGGGTGCTAAGGCAATGAATGAGAAGAAACCCAGGAAAAGGAGACAACTTTTTTATGTAGATTGGGAGTTACAATTCAAAGGGTCCTCTTCAAAGGCTTTATCCTTACTGCAAATGTTTTAGGACTTACTGTACCCTCCTTTTCCTAGCACTATTGTTTTACACAATTTAATTTAAAATGTAAATGTTTCTCTATTTATTTATCCAGGGGATACTTTAGCCCATCTCAACCCAGCCCTGTTACTAGCACTTACCTCTAGCACAACTTCATCCAGCTGTCGCTTCAGTGTTCCATTTTCTTTCTTCAGTTGCTCGTTTTCTGAAAGGGCAGCCTTTAATCTCGCCTCTAACCCGAGCATATATTCTTTCTTCTTCTTGCGGGACTGACAAGCAGATTCTCGATTTTTTATCATACGTTGCTGTCTCCTTAGCACAGCAATCTAGAAAAAGTTACAATGAATCAGAATATCCTGGTTTTAGAATCAGATCAAAATAGATCAGAATATACTAATTTTCCAATTATTGTTAACTGACTATTTTTCAAAGCATAGGTTACCAGTTGTTTCAAAACACATTTGAAAAAACACTGCTCAAACTAAACAAGTTAAAATCAAATGATTAAATAAGACTTTCTAAAACCCAAATGTTAAATAATTTCTTCTGATATTTTCTAAGGCTCATTTATTAATCTTCTAATTTTCCCCTCAGAAACTCCCTCAAACAGTATCTTTAAGTATATATGTATATATATATACACACATCTTAAATCTACATCTCTGGCCCTGAAACGGCTATGCCCCAGAACCATATATTCAGTTAATTCTAAGGCCACTTCTACTTACAGTGTCATTACCACTTCAAATTCATTATGTGCAAACTGAACTCACTATCTCCCTCTAACTTTTTTTTTTCTTTTTGAGATGGAATTTCACTCTTGTTACCAAGGCTGGAGTGCAATGGCATGATCTCGGCTCACCGCAACCTCCACGTCCTGGGTTCAAGCAATTCTCCTGCCTCAGTATCCCGAGTAGCTGGGACTACAGGCGTGCACCACCATGCCCAGCTAATTTTTGTATTTTTAGTAGAGACAGGGTTTCACCATGTTGACCAGGATGGTCTCGATCTCTTGACCTCGTGATCCACTGGCCTTGGCCTTCCAAAGTGCTGGGATTATAGGCGTGAGCCACCACGCCCGGCCTAACTAGATTTTTTAAAAATCTATCCATCTTCTATCAATAGTAACTATTATTTTTCTTTACTCACTATATTCAGTCCTTCTCAATCTGTCATTCACTCATTGAATATGATAAAACTATATACTAATCACCAAGTTTCTTCCAATGAAAATGTATCTCAGTTATTCCTTTCTCTTATTCTCTCTTCCACTCTCCTAACACAGGCACTCATTAACTCATCCCTATGTAGCAGGAGTAGCCGCGGGAAATGGAACTCTTGAACACTGAATGAAGAAGGAAGTTTATTCGGCCCGGGAGCCTAAGCGATAATTTGTCCAAAGCTCAGCTCATCTAACAAAGGAAGGTTCTGCCATTATATAGGCTCGTACTTTAGATATTACACGTGGAAGATGCCTGGGTCTCCTTCCTCACCTATACTACTGCAATACTCTTATTTCTATTGTTTTCCATCTCATCCTGTCTACCATTTCTGAGATAAGTTCTCCCAAGAAAATATTTTTATCTTACTACTCAATTGCAAAAACAAGCTAGTCATGTGTCCTTGCTACCCATCTTTTCTTTTAAGGTCTTCCATATTGTGACTTCCCACTGCCTAACCAAACCTTCTGCCCTTAATCCACAGCTATTCAAGCTACACTCCTCCCATCTTACCATTTAAGGCTACTCCATAATCTCCATACATGTCTAACCTGTTTCTTTATTCATATTGTTTATTCCCATTTGGAACGCTATCTCCTCCACTAACCTAATTCCGAGGCCCATTCAAACTCCAATTATTCTAAGCCACCTGATTTTTTTTATTTTCTCTGAACATCTTACATACCCTTAAAATTTGGAGGATAGACTGGAACATTCTAATGGTCTCAATTGTTTCAAGAATGTTAACTCTCTCTTTCGCCGCCTAGATTTTATACCTTGAAAGCCAAACCACATCTGATCCTATTTTTTTTTTTTTTTTTGGTTAATACCAAGAATATCTGCTACAATAAAAACTTACTGAGTGAAATTATTTTTGTTACGTCTTCTAAATTAAGTTAGAAAGCCTATTGTTATAGATTAGTCTAATTTATTTGGGGAAGTGAGAGAGGTGGCAAAATTATAAAAAGCACCAACTTATATTAAACTGATTAGTATGAGCACACAGACGGCTGAATTACTAATTTCTATATATTTTGCAATAGACTTTAAAAAATAAACACTCTAGAGTGTTCAATAACTCTTACTGAGACCAGTAAATACAGTTTAAAAATGTAATTGATTTCTTTTAAAATGACAACACAATTCCCACCATGATACTACATTTCCTAGAAAGAAGTATGCCAAAGCCAACCAAGTAATCTCCCAACAAAAAAATACTTCCAACAACCTTTAAATCAGAACCCACAAGGAAAAGAAATGTTACATGAAATGTCAAAAGGGGTTTTTTCTTTAAATTACAAAAATGCTGATTTTTATGAAACCATCATCTGTAAAAAGCTTCCTGCAGCATAACTATCTCCCTCTTAAGTAATGCTAAACACACACCACACACACACACACACACACACACACACACACACACACACACACACAGCAATGGCAAAGCCATGATGGACTGATTATTCACCAAATGCAAACTATTCTCTCGACAATGCCAGTTTGTTCAGTCTACTTTTACTTTTAGTGATCTTCATTGTTACTTAGAATGTAAGTAATGCCAGTGTCCATAATTAACACTAGCGTGCTGAAGCACACAGAACACTGAACAGGGACATAAAAGTGAAAGTTCCCAGATGGAAGAGTTTATACTAAAAGTTAGACAAAAGGTAACCTTAAAGGCTAATTAATGTGTGGAATTTAGAGGGGGTTACAGATGGCATACCATTTAATAAATTTCAAACAAGGATTAGGCATTTCTATAAACAATAAAAACACCTGCATATTACACAGCATTAAAGTTTCAAAGACTGTCAATTCATGTGTCCCATACTAAAATAATGAAAACCATCTGTGGCCAAATATTCATTTCTTCCCATAGAAAAAGATACATTATCATAGTTCTGAAAATAAATATTCAATACTACCAATAAATACACAGGGTAAAGACAGTAAAAATAAATGAAACCCATGGCAATCACCAAACGCAGGGTTCCAGTGTTATGTATCACCAAGCCATCTTCAGCTATCTGAATAGAAAATATTTAAATTATTCTATACTTCCTAGGCAAAAAATATATATATGATTTTTAGGATAAATACATACACACATTGTGGTGTTTGGTATTGAGGGGGAGGTAGGTATTTTCCTATATAAGAAAAAAAGGTTGTTCATGCATGACTAAAAAATTAAAATTTAAATTTAAAAAAAAAAAGAAAAAAAGGATTACACTGTATGTAATTGTTTGCTAAACTGTTTTTGCACATAAAATGTATCATAACGACATCTGACATGCAATAATGGCAGCACAATTTTTCAATTATCTTGATATTTCATAATATATTCAATAATCTCCTCTTGTTGAAATTACTATAGTTTTCAAGGCTTTAAAATAAGCCTCATCATTTAATCCACTGTTAGGACAGTAGAAGGGCCAAGGCTAGAACTTAGGTCAGTTGACTCCAAGCCCAGTGGTACCTACACAGCAGCTTCAAACTGCTTTTAAATAACAGAGAGGCTTGCATCACAGCATGCAACTCTAACCTCAGAGAACTACGTGCTTACTTTAATTACGTGCCTGTCTGAAAACAGAGACTTGTGGAACTGCCTGTATCTGGAAGCCTAATCTCCTCTGTTAGCAATCTGAAAACATAAAATCAATACTCTGGCCCATTACCCAATTGACACATCTCCCTTATGGGCATATCAGATGATTTTAACACAGACTGAAATAAGTGAACAGCTGGCCAGTTCCTGCTTCTGATCTTCCTGCCTCCAGACAACTCTCCCACCAGGCATCTTGCCTTGGAAAAAGTAGAAAGAACAAACGAAACAACTCTACAGCTGCAAAGTAGTTTCCCTTAAGTGCCACTGCTATAAAATGTAGTGTTTCATTTAGTAAACATTTATTTGACTGTAAGAAAGACTTACGTAAAAGGACAAATTTCACAAACGGACAAGTTCCTTTTGAAGGTTGAATTAATTTAAGAGTCAAAGTTTCAAGTACGTTCAAATTTTTAAGTCAATTTAATTTAATTTTTTGAGACAGAATCTCACTCTGTCACCCAGGCTGGAGTGCAGTCAGTGGCACAGTTACGGCTTACTGCAGCCTCAATTTCACAGGTTCAATAGATCCTCCAGCCTTAGCCTCCCCACGAGCTGGGACTACAGGTGCATGCTACCACGCCTGGCTAGTTTTTTAAATTTTTTTTGTAGAGACAGGATCTTTCTATGTTGCCCAGGCTGGTCTCAAACTCCTAGGCTCAAGCAATCCTCCTGCTTCAGCCTTTCAAAGTGCTGGCTTTACAGGTGTGTGCCACCATGCCCAGCCTGTTCATAATTTTTAAGACCATATTGACTGATAAATACCATAAGTTATTATAGTCTCCTTTTTATTAACAAAACTAAATCCTTGTTTCTGTGATGTTGCTAAGAGATGAGCTCAATGACTATAAATTAAATTAAATATAATATTAAGATAAGAGCAAGGAGTGGTGGTAATCTCAACACGTTAGTTGGTAGGCTGAGGCAGAAGAATCGCTTGAGGTCAGGAGTTTGAGACCAACCTGGGAAACATAGGAAGATCTCGTCTCTACTAAAAATAAAAAATTAGCTGGGCATGTTAGTACACACTGTAGTCCTAGCTACCCTACATGCAGAGGCAGGAGGATCACTTGAGCCCAGTAGGTTGAGGCTGCAGTGAGCCATGATCATATCATTGTACTCCAGCCTGGGTGACAGAGTAAGAGCCTGTCACTTAAAAAAATTTTTAATGGGATTTTTATGCTAAGAAATACATTTGAATATCTCATGTAAACTCAAGTCAGATCAAGTATTGATAACCTATGGGTGAATCACACAGTAATCACTGACTTGCTGTACATCTTTCTAACAGTTCTAATTCTCATTTGGCTGAACCCTGCCTTCTAAAATGATAAAGTGGAAACTATTACTGATTAACCTCTTCATTATATCTGACCAAACATAAAAATACAATCTTTCAATTAAATAAAAATTACATAACATACATTATTGCATGTCAGTAAACATATTTATAGATACATCCTAAAAAAACATATATAGCTAAAATCATTGGCAAATTTAATTT